AATTTTATATTTATTAATGCAGAGAGATTTGTGTAGCTCTAAAACTCTGGTACACCATACAGTTTTTTGCTTATATTTATAAAATAAAATTACCATGCATTTCCATTTTACACTAAGGAACAATAGTATCCAACAGAACGACTTTGCATCTGTACCAATCGTATGAGGCCAATCGTAATTTCAAAAGCAGTTCTGTAAAAAAAGTAATTTTATATATATAGCCAATATATATATATATATATTTTATTAGGCCTATTATTATTATTTTTTTGATTCCCTACAACCTAGAGTTTTTAAAAACATGGTTTTAAGTAAAGTGTGATTTGCCAGGGGGACGGGGATTTCCTTCTGGTCTAAACATCCCTGCTTCTGCTGAATTATTTGAATCCCCACACCCCTCCCTCCACAGTAATCAATGCTATAGGCTACTTCACCAATAGACCATATCAAATATAAAATAGAGATATGCAACAGAACAAGCACGTTTAAACAACGATAAACAATAAAATCAAAACCAGCGTTTCAGTTGTCCATAGTTCAAGTGGCCTTAATGCATGCACGGCTTTTCAAAATTTCACAAAGCGTTTTGAGATTATTTTGAATGAAATATTGAAGTTTATAATTAAGTGTTTTGGCAGACCACGCCGAGTGGCCCTATGCATTTTTCTAAAATCGGGTTTTATTCGAACTTTTGCTAACGACAAAAGTTTATCTGTCGTCTCTGTCTCCGGGAACTGCGCGTCACAAAAATGAACCGAAAGCCACTTCAGCTCAGTCACTATAAGAAATCGGCTCTGTCTAATGCCTTTAAATGTCTAAATATTCAGGCTAATAAATGTTATCTGATTATGTAATCCATATGAAAACGAGAGGTACAGAGGATCTACTCAAACATGTAGCCTATGTAAGCGCTTCCCAATGAGAAAATGACAAGGGTGAAAATCTCGCTCTAATGAAATGTAGCAGGCTAAATCGCCCTGAATTAAAATGTAAAAACAGATCAAATAATGTATTTGTCGAAATGTTGCGATATTGTTTCATTTAAGTTCATAATTATTCTATAGGCCTACATGTTATTTAATTTAGCAGCATTACCACGAAGCACCGTGGTTCGATATTTATTTGAATAATAAAAAAAATAATAAAAACTTAATTCACAAATTGCATGCCTGGTTGAAAGGATCCAAAGATCCCTGTAGAATTTAATATTAAGTTGAACATTTTGTTCATGACAACAAATGAACATGCGTTTTTTCAGATTATATTTAGTTTTGCTTGGAAAAAGCTGGCCCAAACCAGTTTTATTTCATCAATTATTGAAATAATGAAATATTTAGTAATAAACTTTTATGACAGAAAATTCACTAGGCTACATGTAACTTAAATCATTTAATTCCTTCATTATCAACACTGTCTAGAATAGCGATTTAAGTGTGAATTACGACTTCTCTTTGTGTTAAATCAGCCTCAGACTCCGATAGCCTGTGGGGGGTTGGGGGACAGTTCAGTGCTGTGCGCGCAGGACAATAGGCCTAGGTGTTAATGTTCCTCTTTCATATGGAGAGCGAGGGAGACTAAATAAACTTGTTAAAAAGAGATTCAGCGCGAGAGAGGCAAAGAAAAACGCATGTTTTAATTTAATTATGTTGCTTTGGACAATTTTCGTTTTGTAGGCCTACTGTTTTAATTGTTTAATGTCATTTATTTGGCAATACAAATTTAAAATGTCGCAAGAATAATATTAGCCTAGTGTTTCTTATTTTGCATCGCAAAAGAAATAAACTCTAAACCCGATGCAACCCTGTTTTAAATAAAAAAAAACACTTTATTTAAACCTTGAAATGTTCGAACTTGGTTTCAAACTTAAGTAATTTTAGTGTTCTTTTACATTACACAATAATTTAGCAGACTAAAGACGAGCTTCTTCATTTTCATTTTCTGATGCAATCGGCTGACAATCTTCCTTCATCAGTTTGTGTCCTTTGTGCAGCGGCTGCGGTTCTACTGGAATGTAGCAAATTTATGTTGTAATGATAATTAAACAAAACTCTTGACTTTAAATAAGTAAACAGTTATAAACAGTTAGCTATTTAAGCATCAAGAAGGTAAAATATAAACGCTGTTGGCCAACATCGGTTAACAACATGTATGCCACATTGAGATTCGATCTCGGGTCGATTGAAGCTCCCTGAAGCTCGTGTTGATGCGTTGATCACTGAGCCACCGTTTGTACGCTGTTAGAGTTAAAGTCTTATGCTTTTGTAAAGCTTCATTGATGTAGCCTAAATGTTTTTATTGCAATGTTTTATGTTTTCATTATTTATTCAATTTCATTTCAGTATTTCAGCCTAATTTCAGTATTGTGGTAATGAATTATTTTAACTACGTTTCACTTGTTGAATTCATCTGCTACCAGCTTTCAATCGCTCTGAATGAGCAGCAGATTACGCATTAGAGAGAATAAACGAACACTTTTCAGAGTCTATGATTGTAGCGCCTCTTAGCGGTAAAAGGTAGCAAATACACCCCACATTTTACCGCCGCGGTGGAACGGCTGATGTGGGCATTGTCATGGCTTTCCTCTACATTTGCGTTTGAATAGCGCGCGTTCTCCGTGGGCGTGTCAGATTAACGCGTAATGAAGTGTAATGAGCTGGGGAAAAAAATTCTGACAGCACTCTCTTTTCATACAGATTACATAAACTGAGAATATTTGTTTTTTATATAAATTACTTCATTGAAAAGAAGAGAATTCAAGCTTCATAAAGAAAAATCTCTCGTGCCTGTGTGACAAGTATTTGCAGAGTTAGAGTTAATTTTTCGGACGCGTTTCAGAATGGACTGCACTGACAGAGAGAAGGCAAAACTCGCATCATGTTTATTTTTCTTCATTTGACAAAAAGCACAACACTTTGTTTTTATTGTGAGTATACAGAAAAATAATATACACTAAACAGGATCGACTGATGTATAACACTTACATGTAAGATTAAAATCAACAGAGTATTTTGAGTCTCTTTTGCACTGATAAGAAAAAAAGTCTGCCTATCGCGCCGGCGCGATAGCCGACCCCAGGGGGTTAAGATATAGGAAGATCATAGATGATTAAATGAAATCTTTGTCGCGTTTCCCAATTTGTCTTCCCGCCAGGTGCTGATATGCCGCAACTACAAAGGCGATGTCGACATGTCCGAGATCGACCACTTCTTCAACCTGCTAATGCAACAGGAAGAGGAGGGGCTTGTTTGTCCTGTGATGTCACATGGCAGCGTCCACTTCCTCTGGATCAAGCACAGCAATCTGTACTGTATCCTTTTACATCACAAACCTCCGAATCTGATTGCGAAAGATAAAGTTATTTCAAATAACCAGTGCTAATTTGATTGTAGGTATTCACATACTTATGCACTATTCTATGCCGATTTGTAGTATAAATAGAGCAAGTAGTGCATGTGTTCACACTGAAAATGTGCACTTTAAAAACCCGGATGATGCACTTAATTAACCGAATAAACGAAGTGTGGCATGATGGACACTTCATGCACTCGACTGTCGCAGCTTTAATTACGCAGCGTAGGGGGAGGGCCATCAGACTCCAATGTTCAATGATAAAAAAACGTATAAAGTTCATACAGTGTATAAGTGCATAAGTGCACAAGTACATAGTGCATAAGAACATAGTGGATAAGTACACAGTGCATAAGTACATACTGTATAAGTGCATAGTGGATAAGTACATACTGTATAAAACGTAGTGCATAAGAACATCGTGCTTAAGTGCATAGTGGATTAGTACATAGTGCATAAGAACATCGTGCATAAGTGCATAGTGGATTAGTACATAGTGCATAAGAACATCGTGCATAAGTGCATAGTGGATTAGTACATAGTGCATAAGTACATACTGTATAAAACGTAGTGCATAAGTACATAGTGCATAAGTACATAGTGGATAAGTACATATTGGATAAGTACATACTGTTTAAAACGTAGTGCATAAGAACATAGTGCATAAGTGCATAGTGCATACTGTATAAAACGTAGTGCACAAGTATTCAAGTGTTCAAGTGCACAGTGTATATACGTGCATAAGCACATAGTGTAGTGTGTAAATTGGCACACCATTTGTGTTTTGTTGATATGTGTTGAATGTTCAATGGTGTATCAATTTCCAACTTAACCTGCCAATAACATCAGTGGTGGCCACAACCAACAAGAACTCTAATGCATGTCTGGTGTACGCCTTCCTGTACAAGCTCGTGGAGGTGAGTCGCCTGAGACGTCCTTCGTCAACCACACGGGTGATTCTTCAAGCCAGGTCCAGATCTGAACTGAAACAAACACTTCTCTCGGTCTGTTCAGGTGTTCACGGAGTATTTCAAGGAGCTGGAGGAAGAGAGCATTCAGGATAACTTCGTGGTGGTGTACGAGCTGCTCGACGAGCTCATGGACTTTGGATTCCCGCAGACGACGGACAGCAAGATTCTTCAGGAGTAAGACACGTTTGCTTCATTCGCTCACGGAGAAGCTCATTTCTTGTGACCTCATGTGTGTCGATGCTCTTCCTCAGGTACATCACTCAGCAGGGTAACAAACTTGAGGTGAGCAAGACCAAAGTGCCCACTACGGTCACCAACGCCGTGTCCTGGAGGTCAGAGGGGCTTAAATACAAGAAGAACGAAGTTTTCATCGACGTGATTGAGTCCATTAATGTGCTGGTGAGTTATATCATCTGAGAACTGCTCGCATATGCCTCTCCTGTTGGGGTGTTTGATATATATCGTCTACGATAATATCGTGATTGTTGTTTTAACGATGTGCGATCTGACATTATCCAGTATGTCCCTAAATGCTATTAAAATGCATTTATAATGCCCCCAATAGTCAAGATAAGGGGCAAAAATACCTCTGTCTTTCATATATCATTTAATATAGTTAATCAATATCAGTGGTGTTTTTTTTCTTCCAAATATCAGAATGATTACAAATGTGATATTGATTTTATACAAGAATTCAATAAACAAGAAGTTAATATTAAGCGATTTTAGACACAATATTGCCTGTTTTTGCTGTATTTCGCCAACGAAAATAGTTGCAAACAAAGAGGAACACACAGCGGTGTTTCATTACTGAATGAATCCTTTGAATGAGTGATTCAATGACTCGCTCATTAAGACAGTCAAATGCTTCGTTCCTGAATGAATCGGATGAAACTTAATGACTTACTACTGGCGGTATTAATTTCACATTTAAAGTATCTTCTCATTTTTTAAAAATATTTTCAAAATATCAATATTCAACATTTTATATTTGAAACATCAAAACATCAAACCGTCTGTGTAAATGCATCTAAACGCCACTTCAGATGCAGCTTCTGTGTTTCCTCTGGACTGCAAAGATGAATAAAAAATAAAAAAGGTAATGCGACTTTTTCTCTCACAATTGCGAGTTTGCATCAGAATAGCATGATATAAAGTTGCAACTGGGAGATATAAAGTCAGAATTGCATGAGATAAAGTCGCAATTAGTTGTTATGAAGTCAGAATTGTGAAATGTAAACTTCCTTAGAATTGGACTTTATAACTCACAATTCTGAGAAAAGATGTCAGAATTGCGAGATATATAAATTCGCAATTGCGAGAAAAAAAGTCTGAATTGTGACTTTATAACATGCAATTGTGAGATAAAAAGTCGTAATTATCTTTTAAAATGTTTTATTCTTTGGTGGAAACAAGCTTCCATAGGTAACAGCCCTATTGTGTCTTATTTTTCTAATTGAATGTATTGATTTAAATGTAAGAATTTGACACAAAAGATGATACATGCATTTAAATAGGTTTAAAAATAGCTTTATAAATGTAAAAATGCCGATAAAAGCTAAAAAATCTTCTTGAAACAGATGATTTTTAGCGCTTTGAGTCTAAGAAAAGCGTGTTAGAAATAAAATGCATTATTATTATTATTATTATTTCTATCACTGCTGTGAACTGACCACCACACAATATAAAGAAAATCAAAAACTCTGTCCACAGCAGTCCAAACCCGCAAAGCTACCAACACAATAAACACACTCCACCAAAAATCGTCTAATTATCGCTATATAAAATATCGAGAAGTCATTTTTTGTCAATATCACACACCCCTACTCTCCTGTAGTGTGTAAAGATGTCTGTGTGTGCAGGTGAATGCTAACGGCAGTGTTATGAGCAGTGATATCGTGGGCAGCATCAAGCTGAAGACTATGCTGTCGGGAATGCCAGAGCTCAGGTTGGGCCTGAACGATCGTGTGCTGTTCGCCCTCACCGGCCGTAAGATCACACTTTATTAACTAAGCTGTTTCAATTCACTAAGAGTGTTGTGCAGGATGAGGTCAGTCCTGGAAATAATGTGTGTGTGTGCACAGGAGACAAAGGGAAGACTGTCACCATGGAGGATGTGAAGTTTCATCAGTGTGTCCGTCTGTCGCGTTTCGAGGGCGACCGAACAATCTCCTTCATCCCGCCTGACGGAGAGTCCGAGCTCATGTCGTACCGGATCAACACACACGTAAGGCTCCTGCACCAGCCCTCAGTGTGTGTGTCTAGGGTTGGGTTTAGTTTGAATTTTAACGATTCCCATTCTGCTTATCGATTCCTAATTTCGATTACAATAAGGAAAAATAACCTTAGATATCATTCACATTTAATCTTATTGCAAAACATTTAATTGTAAACGAATATCAGGAACAAAAATCAACAGGCCGAAGAGGACTTAAAAATACCATAGAAAAACAACTAGCCTAACTTATATAAATTTCAAGCATTATTAAAGACAAGGAAACACTCAGTGATTAAAAAAGAACAAATAAACAAATTAGCAATCGCAACAAATAGACACAACTGAACAAAGATACGATTGAGATAAACAGTGTTTTAAGATTTCCAGGTGTTCAGGAACAGAAACTGTAATCAAGTGCAAAATAACACTGCACTTCATAAAGAAAATATACAGTACATTACAAAGTTATTCAGTGAATTTCCTCACTGACACTTTAAGATTTGCCCAATGTAGTTACACACGAAATATTGAAATGCTCACAAAGGAATCGATAAGAGGAACCGAAATTTAACTTTTTTACAAGTATCCGATTCCTGAACTCAAGTGATTTTCAATTCCCAACCCTATTTGTGACGGACAACCGTATTGACTGACACACACTGAGAATCTCCTCTACACACAACAACAAATGACACCGTGTCTGAAGTCAATTCCCTCTCTAGTTACTCATGAGTAAAAGCATAGCGACAGAAAACCATTCTTTGTATTGCATCTGCATTATTTCATTTTTATATTGTGCAGCATTTTGGGACATTTCCGCTGCTTTCAACCTCTTAGATTGTGTTTTTTGAGCTCTGTCGCCCACACACCTGGTTTGTAGGGGTGTAACGATTCATTCGTTTTCTCGATGCATCGATTACAAATCCTGACGATGCATATGCATCGATCTTGAAACATGTATTTCGAATCGTGAATCGTTTATTTCGGTCAATATTCGATTTAAAATGCTAAGAATCGAATAATTTGCGATTCTATATCGATTCAGTGCTTTAAAACATATAAACATTAAATGACTACATGCGCGAATTAATGAGGCGTTGTGCGGCGTCATTTCGCGTCCTCACAGCTCTCACATACTCGCTGCACTCTTACCATCTTTCACTGGATTTCGCTCGTGCTCTGCCCCATATAGCTCTCATCCAGGGGCGTCACTAGGCCCTTTTTAGGGGGGCTTCAGCCCCTAAACTTCTGCCTAGCCCCCCTAAAAATGTGAGATTAATGTAGGCTACACAAATTCGTGTTCGCTTCAGTCTTGTTATAATCAGATTCAGCGCGTTCTTCATCTTCAATCCACAGCGGCGCCGAGCAGAGAGCACGTCAGAAACAGAGGACAGGGTGTGTGTGTGTGTGTGTGTTCATGTGTGTGTTTATCTGAGCCTCATTGGTCTGTCACTGCTCGTCAATGTCAGAATATTTGAGATGACCAATCAAATCAAAGTAGGCGGGCTTTATGTTCACAGACGCTGCTGAGCGCGAATTTTAACCGCGTACGGTCAAGTGCGAGATAAGATGTAAGTAGCTAAACTTAACATTTCATATTTTACTTTTTTTAGGTCATAAATGTTAAACGAATGACAAAAAATAATCAGGCAAACTAATATAGTTGTGTCTAATTTCGCCATTTTGAGCTGAAAATAGGCCTATGTAACGTGACTCATGTGATGTAATAATTAGTTTACAAGAAACATTAACAAAGCCGTTTTCATCATGTTAGGCACAAGATTAATAATGAATGTGTACATATTGAGAATATAATACAAATTGTAGCCTTTAGTAAATTAAAAAAGCTCAGCTTTAGGAGGGGAAGAGGGAGGAAGAGACTGAGAAAAAAAGAAAGAGTGATGGAGATGAGAAGAGAAGAGAGCATGCAGGTATTGACAAAAAAATAATCTGCCCACTGACATGGTTTTAAAGCTATTTCTTATCCTTTTTTTTGGTCTTCAAACGTCTTGAAATGCACATATCAGAGAAATAAAAAATGTGAACCCCCTACCAACCTCAAATTTAGGACCTCTGTGACTAAAGCCCTGTCTACGGCCCTGTATTAGGCATAAGATCAATAATAAATGTGTAGCCTACATATTGTGAATGCATTTAATAAACTTAATTACCTTTAGTAGCTTTCAGTAAATAAACGCGTCTGAGAAAATGATTCATAGGCAAAATCAACCTATCAATTGACCCTAAGTTTACTTTCTTCACTGACAGACAAAAATGAAAAGCCTATATCAGTCAAAGCTCAGCTTTAGGAGGGGAAGAGACAGGGCAAGATAAAAACAAAGAGAAAAAGAGTGTGATGCTGATGAGGAGAGAAAAATAATCAGCTGCCCACTATCCAAGTTTTTTTGCCTTCAGAACATCTTAAAATGCACATATGTAGATCAGAGAAATCAAAATTTTCTCGGGGAGACCCCGAACCCCCGTATTTGCCCTGCCACACATTTGGGACCACAGTTATTATAAAACCGTGCCTTTGCATCGGAATGAAAATGGTTAATAGTGAGCTTTAGATCCTAAACTAACTTGGCCAGAGGAGAACTGGCCCCCCGACTGAGTCTGGTTTCTCCCAAGGTTTTTTTCTCCATTCTGTCCCTGATGGAGTTTTGGTTCCTTGCCACTGTTGCCTTGGCTTTTGGCTTGCTTAGTTGGGGACATTTAATATTCAATAATATTATTGATCTGCCTTACTTAAGGTGGACGTTGACGCAATTTCTTTTAGAAACAAACTTTGTTATATTGTTTTCATGTTATCACTGTGAAGCGCTTTGATACAATCTGTATTGTAAAAAGCGCTATATAAATAAAGGTGACTTGACTTGACTTGACTTAAAGTGTTAAATTTTTTATAATTTTAAAAAAAATCATATTGGGGGCTTAGCCCCCCTAAAATGAAAATCCTAGTGACGCCCCTGCTCTCATCTACAGATTTTTGAGCAGTCCATGTTTGAGCTCTCCTCAGGACAGCCATTGGTGTTCACATGAGCAGATGACAGCTCTCTATCGAGAAAGCAAGCCATTGATAAAGCTGCCATATCATTGCGCGGTCACTGCTATGAAACAACGCGTTCGTTGCGTGGAAACGTCACCGTTATTTTCTTTAAGATAAGATACTGAAGTTTTACGGAAATGGGTCATACCCGTCCTGAGCAGTTAAAGTAAAACCCCACTTATTCAAGGGTGCGCATTTATTACATGGAAAGAGAAAACGTATAATAGGTGTCTAAAATGCACACGCTTCCGATTAATCATGAATGATGAATGAAATGTAACTTAATGTCGTTAAACTGAACTGATGAAATAACTACAACATTAATTACACTGATATAAGAGCGCGTGGTTTATCCATCAATCAGATGCGCATTAAAGTTGCATTCGTAATCGTTAATAGCACAAGTAGACAGCCGGCGCGTTTTCTTTCAGAATCACAAGGAAAATGTTCAGTCGGATAAAGAGGACAAAGAGTAGCTATTCCATGAGGAAACGTTAGTTAAGGTTTAGTTGGGAAAGTTCATGGTATTTGGAGGATGTTTAATGTACCAGGAACACTTTAAGGTTGTGTATCCATTCCTACAAAATAGTTAGCATGATGAACTAACTATACTTTTAAAGCCTTTTTAAATCTTGGTTTACATTTTTACAAATGCTAATTTATAGGCTTTGGAAATATTTTTTATAATAGATTCATTAAAAACTAACATGAACTAACGTTAACAATAGACAAAATGTCGTTGTTTTTTTGTTTGTTTTTTGTTCCCACTCTCTGACCCCCGAAGCCAGCTGTATAATTCACACCCTGACTAAGACCCATTGGGGGAAGCATTTAAATAATCCTATGAATGCATATAAAAAATTAAGAATCGAATCGAATTAATCGAATCGCATCGAATTTTAATGTGAATCGCATTGAATCGAATCTTTCTGAATTTGCAAAAATCGTTCTTGAATCGAATCGAAAACCTATGAATCGTGAATCGAATCGATTCGCTGCCTACCCAAAGATTCACAGCCCTACTGGTTTGTCTTCCTCTATGGTCACGCCGTTGACCTATTTCTGCTGTTTTTCCATAGTGACTGAGAGAGTTTGATTGACAGAATAACAGTCGTGCTTATGTTGTACATACTGCATCTTAGTGAGGTTATGATGAACAACTAGTTGTTGACTGGTTGTGTTTATATGGCACACACTTCAACCAAACTTGTTCTCAAACACACTGGAAATTTGAGGTAGAGAGTTTATTAAATGCTGTTGTTAGATTTGATCTTACAAGTTGTCCAAAAAAAAAAGTCCTCCTATTATGTTTTTTCGTTTATTCCCTTTCATGTAGTGTGTAATAAAGCTGTTTGTGAATGTAAAAGCTGTGCAAAGTTTCACAGATCAAAGTGCATATGATGCAGTTTTTGTCTCCTAAAAGAAAGAAGTGATTTCGAACAGAAACGAGTCATCACTTCCTGATGAATCTGCGTAGGTTTGCAACTCATTTGCATAATACCAGCCTCTGGTCTTGATTGGCTGAACAGCGTCTCTTAGCCCCGCCCTCAAACACTGTAGTGTATCTGAGACTGGAAGAGTTCGGCTCGTGTTGTTCGTGTCGAGAAGACGCTGTTTGAGATTGATACGGTGAAACCCACGCCATCGTCACTGTTCGTATCACTGTGATCAAGAGCTGAGATTCAGATATGATAATGAGCGTTTGCTTTCTGACCAATCAGAGCAGAGCAGCTCTCAGAGAGGCGGAGCTTAGAGAGACTGAATCTTCAAACGAAGCGTTTCAGACACTGAGAGAAAAGAGCTGATTCTGCAGTGGAGATTATGAGAAAGTGTTGTTTGACCTTGGATGCATGTAAACATTTTGTCGGAGACCTTCAAAACTTAATGCAAAAACCTTTAAAATAGCAGAATAGGGGCACTTTAAACAATCCAACGTCTGGAGATCATCTATTACACCATTTTGATCATCATAGTTGATCACATCCGCTGTGTTTAGTGTTACAAATGTCTCTTTATTAACAATATCATTCTTTCATCTGCAGGTAAAGCCGCTCATTTGGATCGAGTCGGTTATTGAGAAGTTCTCTCACAGTCGAGTGGAGATCATGGTGAAGGTTTGTCAGCAAAACTTTCTTCATTGGAACACACTGGACACATTTCAAGACTAAACTTAAAGGTTTAGAGTCACATTTACAGCATTGACTTTCCACATGTGAATCCCCTGTCTCTCTCTCTCTCTCTCTCTCTCTCTCTGTATTCCAGGCTAAAGGACAATTTAAAAAGCAGTCTGTAGCCAATAATGTTGAGATCCGTGTGCCTGTGCCGAGTGATGCCGACTCTCCCAAGTTTAAAACCAGCACAGGTCATGCTAAATACGTTCCTGAAAAGAACTGGGTGGTGTGGAGCATTAAATCCTTCCCAGTAAGAAACCAATTACTGATGCTTCGCTCTTCGATCATAAGATGTTGTGGTAGCGCTTTATTTCACAGTCCTGTTCCACATGCACATACAATGTACTGTATTAAAGCAATTACAATAACTGTGTTATAACCCCGACTACCCCTAAACCTAACCTTAACCCATGTAGTTGCCTTATATTACCAGCACTTTCTTGGGTAACTATACTGTAAGTACACATACTGTAAAATAAAGTGTAACAGATGTTGTTTTATGAAGACTTTTGTTCAAGATCTTTATTGAGTCTGTAAAACTGATCTTGTGTCGTGTGTCCATTGGCAGGGTGGGAAGGAGTTTCTCATGCGTGCCCACTTCGGCCTGCCAAGTGTGGAAAAGGACGAGAAAGAGGGAAAACCTCCGATTACAGTCAAGTTTGAGATCCCATATTTCACAGTGTCAGGCATACAGGTGTGTGTGTGCATGACTTTGCATGGGCAAATGCGTGTTGGCATTTTCTATCAGTGTATTTACACTTGTGCCAAATGTTACATGTGCAGACATCCCACTTCTCCCGGAAGTTCTGGGAGTCTCCCGCGGTTCCTTTACGCCCAGAAATTATATATTATATCCCGGAAATTAAGCGTGCGAGACAGAAGCCCTGTTTCCACCTGGTATTAAGATGCGTTTTCGGTGATCTGATCACGAATTGTCGGCTAAGTAACATTACCGTTTTTCACCTGAAATTAATTATAATGCGGTTTAAATGCGTCTCCTGTGACCACTTGCGTTTGGATTTCCTATTATTTCATCACACTTTACATCACTTTCAGCACACTAATAAAATGAATATATAATATAATATAATATTCTGTTTTAATGCACTGTTCTTCAATTGGGTGTGGTGGTGGTGTCTGCCGGAAATGAGTTTTTGCAGGATGGGATATCTGCATGTGTTCTTTAAACACGGTCTGTTTAAGATCTAATGTAAGACTTTCTGATCAGTTATGGAACTTGTCTCAGCAAATGAAAAATTGTTTTTTATTTGAAAGGTACGGCCCATGAAGATCATTGAGGAGAGCTCTTGATTCTCATTGGTTGCTGGCGCAGTTACCATAGTGATACTACTGTAGCAACGCCTATCAGCACTCCTCCCTTTTGTCCAATTATGGCAGCCGTGTTGATGTGTGTGGCTTCCGATTGGTCCAAGTGTGCTTGTCGTCATGCAGCTCTGTTGTCGATCAAGAGCTCGATATAAAGGCGCAACTTCGAACAGAGAATGTAATATAATATAATATTCTGTTGTAATGCAATGTTGTTTAAGGGGGTGGTGTTTGTGCCATCTGCCGGAAATGAGTTTTTGCAGGATGGGATATCTGCATGTGTTCTTTAAACACAGTCTGTTTAAGATCTAATGTAAGACGTTATGATCAGTTATGGATAAGGGTGCAATAAGTTCAGACTGCTCATTTGTATACCGACATGGTCGACAGCTGTTAATGCACAATCAGCATTTTAGATCGACTAACTGTAATGCTGTATAAGATTCCCATTTGAAGTGAATGCGTAATAAATCTGCCGGTTTCAGAGCAAAACGCAAAGCTGTGACATTCACTGACACGCTTCACTCGGTAGTGCTGAAATCGGCAGTGCACATACTTACTTTGTCAACCCGCTAAAAAGCTTGCTGATTTTAAGTTTGGAAATGTTGAAAATTCATATAAAAATAAAAAAAATGAAAATGTAAATATTAGAATTGTATTTTTTAAGTGTACTATAAAATAATTGTATTTTTATTTAATACTCATTTTTTATTTCAAAATATAATAGTATTATCAAAATTTATTTATTATTATTATTATTTTTTTTAAACTAACTAAATAAAGTGCAATAATGATATTATTATTATTATTATTTTTATAATTGTATTTAATGGGTTACACTAAAACCGACTCTCCAGGTGCTCTCATGAAAACCAGACTGAAAATCTTGTGTGCACCCCTGGTTATGGAACTCATGTCTCAGCAAATGAAAATTTGGATTTTATTTGAAAGGTACAGCTCTAGATTCTCATTGGTCGCTGGCACAGCTACCACAGCGATACTGTAGCAACGCCTATCAGCACTCCTCCCTTTTGTCCAATTATGGCAGCCGTGTTGATGTGTGTGGCCTGTGATTGGTGGAAGTGTTCTTGTCTTCATACAGCTCTGTTGCCGATCAAGCAAGCAATGTAAAGGCGCAACCGCTAATATAATATAATATAATATTTATATAATAGTCTGTTGTATTTTTGCAGGATGGGATATCTGCATGTGTTCTTTAAACACGGTCTGTTTAAGATCTAATGTAAGACTTTATGATCAGTTATGGAACTTGTTTCTCAGCAAATAAATATATTTTTTTTATTTGAAAGGTACGGTACATGAAGATCATTGAGAAGAGTGGCTATCAGGCGCTGCCGTGGGTCCGCTACATCACACAGAGCGGAGGTGAGCAAGGGGTTGCACATTTTTAACAAACCAGGTTTTTTTTATGATTTATTTTTCGTAGGCTTTCTTATTCACACTAACGAGCAATAATGTAAAACATAAATAAGCTCAATCATTTAAACAAAAACCATTGACAGACACGCACAAAACTAAGTAAAAAAAATAAACATAATAATAATATACACGTATAAAAAAGGAGCTGCATCAGGTGCATCGTTTCTGTGACCATTTGAGTAAATATTTTCCTGCATGGCCATATAATTACAATTTATTACAAATTGCAAAAAAAAAAAAAATCCTACACTTAGAATATTTTATATGTATTGTCCCATAAAGCAGGTTTTTAAAAAGATGTGTTTGGCAATCAAGCAGGTGTCAACAGAATGACTAATGTATTAATTTATGTATTTAAATCTGTGTATGCTTTCAGATTACCAGCTGAGGACAAACAACTAATAAGCACTGCAGAAACATGACTGAGATTTTTTTTTTTTTAAGAAAAAGACATTTATGTAATGTTTATGTCTATGTTTTAGTCGATTTTATCCTGTCAGAATTTCATTAGAAGCTGAATGTAAACATTCCAAGCATTTCAGGCACAAGAATGTATTTTCACAAGTGCTTTTGGCACCAAATCATAAAATATGTTGTCTTTCTGCAATAAATTAAATATATTTGTCTTGCAATTATTGATATAATGTGTTAACTGTTGTGTTGTTCCTCATGACATATTACTGGGTCTTGTGTAGACTCTGTCTGTCACGAAGGCCCGCTCTTTTTTCCACAATCACACACTCAGCGAATGAACGCAAGTTTACAAACAAACCTTCTCAAATTGCCCGCCTTCTGCTCTCTTGATTCTCATTGGTCGCTGGCGCAGTTACCACGGCGATACTGTAGCAACGCCTATCGGCACTCCTCCCTTTTGTCCAATTATGGCAGCCGCGTTGGCGTGTGTGGTTTCTGATTGGTCGAAGTGTGGTTGACGTCATGCAGCTCTGTTGTCGATGAAGCGCGCGATGTAAAGGCGCAACCGCGAACATAGCATATATATATGATTGTTTTGACGTATTTGTGTAAACACAGATAAACAGCCAACGGTCACTAATCCACAAACAGCAACGAAGAGGTAAGCGCCTTAAAAGGTGTTCAAACGTTCATTTAAACGTTTCTTGATACCATTTAATCAATTCTTCAGAGAGATTCGCGTTAATGTTCCGCATCACGGAATTATTTTCTCGCGTTTGTGTCAGATCTGCTCTTATGTTACCGGTTCGTGTCCGTGCAGGTGTCTCAGATGATGGTTCTGGACGGGTTCGGGTTCTGCGGGAAGAGTCTCAGCACGGCTGCGGCTCAGGGGAATGTGGACTCGGTTCGGCGGATTCTCCAGGATCACCGGGTCGAACCGGACACGCTCAATGAGTTCGGGAAAACCGCACTACAGGTGATTTACAGCATTAAAACACATTATTATTACATACAGAGCTATTTGTTTCGCTTTCCTTTCCGCCTTTACCATCTGACTGCGAAGATGTCATAATGACCGCTGTCAATCATCTGATATTTACTTTTCTGCTGAGCAATATGATCGAAATATATGCGGAAAGTACATCAAAAAGTAAACCTAAATAATACAAACAGGACCTAAATAGCTAATGATGTAACAAAGTCTTATTTTCATTAAACTGAGGAATGGTAAAGCGTTTTGTCCTTGCTTTAAAGGGTTTGTTCATCAAAAAATTAAAATGATCCTATAATTTGACCTATAAAGCCATCCTTGGTGTATATGATTTTTTTCTTCTTTCTTCAATCAAAGGTACCATTCACTCCCATTATTAAGCTTGATATTTTTTAATACAACTCAAATTTTCTTTGGCTGAAAGAAGAAAGTCATATACACCTAGCATGACTTGAGGGTGCGTAAATTATGCGATAATTACATTTTTGGGTGAACAAACCCTTTACCCGAGGTCAGATTTTTTTTATTCCTAAGAAGCCGAGTCAGCCGACCCATTTTTCACCACTAGTTATCATTTATAAAGCACATAATGAGATGTTTGTTGTGCTGTAGGTGATGATGATGGGCTGCACCAGTGTGGCGTGTGTGTTACTGGACCACGGCGCTGACCCAAACGTCCAGGACCGCTGCGGCGTGACCCCGGCGCACGATGCGGCCCGCACGGGGTTCCTGGACACAGTGCGAGTTCTGGTGGACTACGGCGCCTCAGTCAATGTTCCCGACCACAGCGGCGCGTTACCCATCCACATCGCCATCCGCGAGAGCAACTGGGACGTGGTGGAGTTCCTGGCCCCGCTGTCAAACCTGGGCCACCAGGACAACACAGGGTCCAAACCGCTGGACGTGGCCCGGGACGCCTGCGCTCCGGAGATCGTGGAGCTGTTAGAGCACCTGATGGCGAGCAGTTCGAATTGAAGAACTATACGGTGTTGGAGCGCCCATTAGCATTTTGTAATTTATTTTAATATGTTGGACGTTGATATATATTTCCATAGTTGGTAGTTGAACTCGTATTATTAGCTGGAATGTGTAGCGCCAGTTTTGCACAGAGCAAATCCCTGCACTGGATTCAAAGAGAGCCGCTCTCCTTCAGTCACGTGTGGGTTTGCCAGGCACACATGTAAATAACTTAATTTTGGTATTTTGCTAAATATTTCTGTGCAGAAACTTGAACTGTTAATATTTTTATTCCTGTAAATGTATTCCCTGCCATCCGTGCACTGATGAATTCTCGTTTTGTGAGCAAGTTTGGTTGGAGTGTTAACATCATCTGTAAATAACATTGTATGAAATTATTTTACTTATTTATTGAAGAATTGTATATTAACGTTATGTTTACTGTGGTATTTCAAATGTTATTTATTAAGGTGTTTAATAAACTGAAAACTCACTTTGAACTTGTCTGAATTGTTAGCCATGTCATAGCTACTGAGATGATCCTATTTTTCTTTCACAAAAAAACAAACATAAGTAGATTAAAGTCCCCCTGTGGTGAAACTCAAGTTTTTACTGTTGTTTATGTGTCTGTGGTGTGTTTAATACGCTTTAAGACACACCATGTGTAAGTTCATAAGTCGACAGCATTGCTGAGTATTTCCTCCTTAAAACTGCAGTGAACCAAAGACAGTCTCAAAAACACGGTTTGAAATCGCTGGTGTTTCTGACGTCACAAACGACCTTGTAACCAATCAGATCAACGTGTGATCGTCAACCAGTGGATCGCTGAGTGAGTGAGTGGAGGCGGGGCTCATTTGCATATTCATAGAACCGCGCATACTAAATAAGGCAAGGGTGTCGAGTTACATTCAAGATATTGTAAGGCATGAAGATTTTTTACAAGGAAAAAACGTTTAAATATGTCATTTTGGTGATCAAAGATGAGTTTTAAGAGGGAAAAATTGACTAAGGGGATTTTAAAACAACACTGTCACGTTACGTGTCTTTATTTTAGGACTCATTGGAGCAGTTTGAGAACATTCTCAAACAATCATTTTTGTATATTATCACTAACTGCAAATATACGGTACAATCATATGACGAGTTTCTATTGTGAGTCTAGTGTCGCCTTCATATCATCTGTGAAGGTGCGTCTAGTGTCTGTATGTGCTCAAGGTGACCCTGTACGGGCACAGTTACCCAACGCAGGAATGTGTGCGACTGTACAAGGCAAACATTGTGCTTTCACAGAGCTTTGCTTTCAACAGACAGTCTGTTTCTCTGGGGGGTTTACAACTCGGAGAGGACGCAAACACAATGGTGGTTTTGTTTGCTCACTGGAATCAAGCCAAAATCTCAGGAAACTTCTAACATCCAGCAGCAAAGCTTTCACTGTATCTGATGCATAATATTGAGTTTGTCATTTTAATGAGCAATTCTCTCTTATGCATCAATTACGGCTTGACATCTGATACGGAAAAGACCAGTAGATGATTAAACAAATTGTTATATGCTTGACTTCATCAATCGTGCCAACAATCAGAGCTGTCACTCATAAAACTAGAGTGTTTGAGAACACCGAACAAAGTCCATATACTAGCGTACGCGAGTAAATCATCCTCTGAAATAACTGTTTGAAGCCTTTAATGGGTTTTAAACCAACTGGACAAACACTGGAGGCCTGATGACCTGAAGCTGCAACTTTATTTTCTTGTAGATTGAAAAAACTTTTGTTCACTTGTTCACATGCAGTCAATGACGATTACAGTAGTTGACCTGCAACACAATGAATATTACATTTTAGCATCACTAGTTCCTCAACCTGCACACAAAACCCACTTTTCTCGATATAAGTGCACTTCTTACAAACTCTGTGCAGTTCATCTTCTAAAATACTCTACAATCACTTCTTCATTTCTCAAAATCAACACATTCTACAACATAAACATTCATCACACACAACAAAACACTTTATTATTCGTACACAATGACCTTCAAGACACCAAATTCTGACTGCTTGTGTTTTTTTATTATATTTTAAATTGTTTGCTAAAGAAATTCTTTGCATAACAAGAATGACTAATCTTTATTGTAAAGGGGGAAGTCCAATGTGCACAAAAAATAAAACCTTACAAACTAATACTGTATAATAAAAAACAAGTGTCTACACATCCATAGAACATATTCATCTGTAAATATACTGAGGAGACTATATATCTCCATCACACCGTATGCCCATTTCAGACCATCTTCAGCAGAGACGTCGGTCCAGACACCCACCATTTTGCTACCAAGAAAAGTAATGCAGTCTTCCAGTAGTGAAATTGTTTTGCTGATTTTATGAATGTTGCTGAATATGCTCATCGAATGAATCTGTGTCAAAGAAAAGACTAAATGATGTGGAACAGCCTGTCTGAAAACATGTAAGAGACTTATTTTATTCTCTCCATTCCTCCAAAGACATGAGGATATTTCTTCAAGTTCACACACTCACAAAATGATTACTGCTAATCTGCCAGTAGAGGGAGCCACTGAAGCTTCTGCTGATTGGCTTAAGGTTAGTTTAAAAGAATTTGCATTCATTTTTGTGCAAGTAACATTCATTTACAACTATGTCATGATATTGCTTTGGAGGCTCTTGAATGAGCAGACCTTGACATCAAAGCCCAGGATAGTCACTAGTCAAGGGATTGGGACTCTTGTGATGTCATGACTTCATTTCCTGTGCTCATGAGTCAGTAGTCACATGACATTTATAGCTCAGGTGGTTGGCTGAACTGAATGTGAATGCACAAAGTTTCAAATAGTGTATTTAATGATATGAAAAGGAATGTTAGCAGCTTTGTCGCGCTTTGTCCGGGTATTACAAACACACACACACACACACACACACTCCTGTGGAAATTTCCACTTGCTCAGTCACACCTATAGATAAACAACAAAAAAGAAGTTTCATTGTTAAGAATTGCATTTCAGTATGTGTGTGTGTGTGTGTGTCTGTTGTTATAAAGAAAAGCTGCATTCATTTCTAATCAGATCTATTCAGGTGTTAACGTTTAAACACCTGAGTGAACTTACTTCAATAAAGCTTGAATACTATTGGAAAAAAACAAAAACTAGAAATACAGAGACAATTCAGGCTAAAGTGACACACAGCCCTGGGATTTTGAGTGTCTCAGCATGAACGATGACTCTCTCCTGTCGCAGCTGTAGATCAGTGACCTCGAGTGTGTTCATGGCTCCCTCGGTGGGGAAGAGCCCACAGCTGCTCAAAACATCAGGAGAAATCCACTAGCACTAATCTCACTTACATCTCAACTATTCATATGGCCAGTGTACCATATGTCTCATAGTGTCGATGTTATAGAGTGCAACAGTGCCCATCTACTCTTCCAGTGGCGTTGGTTCCGGAAGTATTTTTTCCATATGGGGATTAAAAAACAAAGCAAACCAAACAGCTACAAGGTTTATTACAATATTATTTGTAATATTTTGACACCATCAAATTTTGATTTGAGGCTAAAAATTGGACAAAAATGATTGATTTATTGATTGTGCGTAGAAACAACATACTTTATTACAAAAATATTAATATACATACAAGTCCCCCATAGTCAATAAGTGTATCCCTTAAAACTCATCTTTGATCATCAAAATGACATATTTAAGCATTTTTTCACTGAAAATAAAATTCTTCATGCCTTAAAATAGCTTGAATGTAACTCTACACCCTTGCCTTATTTACTAAATGCGGTTTTATGAATATGCAAATGAGCCCCGCCTCCACTCACTCCACTCGTTGATCTGATTGATTAGGTAGTTTGAGATTTAGCAATGCTGTTGACTTATGAATTTGCATATAGTTTGTCTTGAAGCATATTAAAAACACCACTAGACATATAAACAACAATAAAAGCTGGATTTTCACCACAGCGGGACTTTAAGAATAAATTCCCCTGTGGGAAAATAAAATGGCATATTTACTTCCGGACCCCAACTGTTGTGTTCTGTTATTTTAACACTGTGTCTGCACATGAACATGCTAATAATTTTTGACAGATTTTCATTTTGAGAGACTGTCAATTCTGGAGATCTACTTTCCTGCAAACTCTAATCAAACACACCTGAACCAGCTTATTAGAATATTCATAAACACTTGATAATTAATTACAGACAGGTGTGCTGGGAATCTGAACTCTCCAGGAACAGGACTGGGCTCCTGTCTAAATCTGTGTCCGGAAATCCCATCCTTCCCTATATATATATATATATATATATATATATATATATAGGGAAGGATATATATATATGGTGAAAAACAGTATCAACACAGTATGGGAATATGTCCGAATTCACAGTACTCATAAAACAGTGGGCAAAAAGTACCTGGATGATTAGACCTACTTCTTCCAGCGAGATTTTGAAGTGTGAATATTATGATGGACACTTTTCAATGAGGCCACGGGAGAGGATTTATGAATGGCAGTGAAGTGACGCAACTGACGCTGGAAGGTCACATGATAATGACAACATGACAAATATGGTACGTCCCCGAATTTCATTCATACTACTCACATTCATACTATATATAATCTACTTTTTAGCTGTCACAACGCAAGTATTCAAAATAAGTGTCAACTCAAGAGAGGCTGTGATTTCAGACGTGATCTAGTCTGTCGAGTCTGTCAGGTGAAAGTTCATTGCTTTAAGCCAAACACAATGACTGTCACGGGACCCACCTTATGTGTGTAGTCAGAATTGTGCTTGTGTAACTCACGAAAAGGAACTTAATTGCTGTAAACGGTGAATTTCATTGAGTTTTGATCAATGTCATCAAATAAATCAGCTGTAAACCCTAATTTGAGGCAATCAAAATTAAGTTAACAAACTCCAAAATTAAGTTAGCAGAGCTTAACATGTCAGATCTTGTACAACACAAACATGTTAATTGCAATTTAATAAAATGTTGACTCAAACTAGATA